AGCACGGATGTCTTTCTTCAATGACAAGAAGTTTGGAGTATATCGTCATGGAGGTGCAGTTGGTTGGATGAAAGGGATTAAGGAGGATCCAGCACTGACAAGGATGATGACTCGGATTGTTGTGGAAGTAGAGCCCACAGCAGCCTTTACGTCTATGTTGGTATCGTACAACACCAAAAAGCCATTGCACAAAGACCTCAACAACGACCCGTGTACCTATAACTACCTGATTCCCATTGAAGTACCCACTCGAGGAGGAGAACTATGGGTTGAGCTCAAGCCTGGGGATTATGTGAAGGGAGAGATTGATCAGCGAGCAGTGGGAGACAAAAACCTTTATGGACAACTTCTACCCTTGCGATTTGGGGAAGCTTATCAGTTTGGACCTCGCAGAGCTCATGAAGTTTGTGACTGGGAAGGAGACCGAATGGTTCTGATAGCCTATTCCCCTCAGTGCTTGGGAAAGCTGAGTCAAGATGATGTTGAGCTCCTACATGATTATGGGTTTCCGATACCTCTATCTCAACTTCCCGAATTCTACGAAAATGAGGAGGCCCAGCAATTCTCCCTGAAGGCCTACAAAACCCAGGTGATTGAGGAGGTACCCGATGACCCAGCAGATCCAGAATGGATGCTGTATTTGGATGTGGGTTCTGGTCTGGTCAAGATCGATGATGCCTCAGTCGACTGGTCACGTTCTCCTTCCATGAAGAAGACCGAGGTGGTGTATACACCGAATATTGAAAAGGTCTTAAGTGAGCTGAAGGGCCCGCTGGATGTTACGTACACGGTGAATCCCACTGAGGTGATGGCCAATTTAGATGTATGGCGACCTGCAATTGAAAAGGAGTTGAAGACCATCGAGGTTGGCATCACCCGACTTCTACCAGGTTCAGATGAACGCAGGAGATGGTTGAGTTTGCCAAAGGTACAGCGATTACCTATGAAGTTCGTCTTTACTATCAAGCCAAGCAGCGATGGAGCTTGGTACAAGCGAAAGGCAAGGTTGGTGGTATGCGGAAACATGGCTGCAGAAGATGGTGCACCAGTTTACACAGAAGCAGCACCCGCGGAATCAGTTCGCGCTGGGTTGACCCTGGCGGTGCGGTATCAGTGGGCAGTGGCGGTGCTAGACGTCGTGGCAGCGTTTCTCCGTACCCCGATGGGAAGGTCACCAACGGATCCAGTGGTGGTGGTTCAGCCTCCGCGCTTGCTGGAGGTTATGGGATTGACCACTAAGATGGAGTTGTGGGCCCTGATTAGGGCCCTCTATGGGTTGCGACAATCACCCGCCCTTTGGGGCGACTACCGAGACTACACGCTCAAGACCAGTGAGCCTCCAAGGGGACTTAAGTTCAAGCAAGGCTGCGCGGCAACGAGTTGGTGGCAGGTAGTGAATGAGGATGCAAAGATGATAGCCATTGTGCTGGTGTACGTCGACGACTTCCTTATCTGTGGTTCTCCAACTACAGTTACCCAAATAGCAAAATGGGTACAAAGTATATGGGAGACTTCGGAGCTCGAGTTCTTGAAACCTGGTGCCCCGATAAGATTCCTTGGGATGGAGTTACAAGTTGATGAGAAGTACCCCAATGAGATCGGGCTCGGACAGCAGGGATATATACAAGAGCTACTACGTCTTCATGATGTTTCCCCAAAGGCAGTCGACAAGATCCCTATTTCGAAGGAGCTTGTCGCAGACAGGGAGCAGCTGAGTGAGCCTACTAAGGAGGAGGTACACTTGGCTCAGCAGTTAACGGGGGAAGTGTTATGGGTGGCTCAGCGGAGTCGTCCAGACTTGAGCTATACGACGTCCATCATGGCATCTCTCTGCTTACGCCAGCCGAGGCAGGTCATTGAGATCGGAATGAAGGCCTTGAGGTATCTTCAGAAGACGTCAGAATACCAGTTACGGCTGCAATGGAGCGAAGAGACCTTGGTGATGTTTTGCGACGCAGCCTATGCTCCGCAAGGAGCCCGGTCACATGGAGGCTGGGTTGTGATGTTTGGCGGTTCACCAATCATGTGGCGAAGTGGACGTCAGCAGATGGTGACGCTTTCTACGGCAGAAGCAGAGCTCCTGGCAATCATTGATGGATCAATAGCAATGAAGGGAGTAGAAGCTCTACTGCTGGATATGGGTATTCATGTGGAAGAGAAGCAAATCGCCTCGGACAGCACGGCAGCTTTGTCTATATCGACTGGATCTAGTTCTTGGAGAACAAGACATTTAAAGATAAAGTCGGCCTGGCTACAAGAACAAATAAGCCATGGAATATTTACGACAAGACACTGTCCTGGAGAGCGACAGCCAGCTGACCTTCTTACCAAGGCCTTAAGCTCAGCACGGATGTCATCGTTGTTGCAATGGTGGAGAGTTGGTGATGTTCAAAGGGTCAATGGTGGCTCAGGATCTTCTACCTCTTCGCGAATGCTGGTGGCTATGGTGTGTTGTTTGTTGGTGGTGTCAGCAAGAGCTGCGGAGCAGAATCCACATGATCAAAGGGGACAAGGAATCCAATTTGACTGGGACATGGCGGGCATGCTTATGGTGCTGTTGATGTTGCTTGGTGCTCTAATGGTGTGGGAGGGCATTCGCTGGTCGATTCTTGAGTTTTACCACGAGTGGATGCCTGGGGCAAGTAAGCGGAAGCTGAAGCGCCTGAAGAAACTTCAAGAGGCCACAACCAGAGCCATAGAGCGAGAGCTGCAGCGGCTACAAAGAGAAGCCGAAGAGGTCACGAGTTCAGCAGGACCTACATCGTCGACTTCTACGTCAGGGAGAAGGCAGAGGAGGAGTTCTGGAGGAACGGTGCAAGAAGCTCAAGGAGGAGTAACTATGACAGAACCAAGTACAACCCTTCACCCACCACAGCCGCCAGCTTCCTCTTCGTCGTCTGGGCGAAGTACAGTTGTGGATGAAGGATCTCAGCCCACAGAGAATAGAGTACCTATGACTACAACACCAATGAGACAGCCTAGGACTCCAAGCCCCAGATCGAGAATGCCTACATTTCCTTCCCCTACGTGTCCTTCAGAATCTGAACAAAAACTTCCAGGAGAGGTGACTCGTGTGTGTATCGATACTTGCATGTTGATGACATGCGAGCACCTTAAAGAAGGCTTGAGGACTGAAGGACTTCCAGTCTCAGGGGTGAAAGAAGATCAAGCACGGCGTCTTGGAGATCGGCTAGCAAGACTCGTCATGAGTTACAATGGACCCACCGTCAAGCAGCTAAAGTACATCCTATGGCTATGGCGAGTAAGAGATCTATCCTGGAAGCATACACTCCGGTATCATGAGATCACCGATCGCTCAAGGATCAGTGCCTTGATCCACGCACTCAAAGACAGATAATCAATCCTGTCTTAGCAGACGGATGGAGGAGGAGTGCAGAAAACCTCTTCTATGCAGTTCAGAGTGCGTGATGACAGCTGAGATCGCCGCTGCTCAAGGGAGTGGCTGCGAAGATCAATAACCCTTGTGCCATGTATAGAGCACTGTTACAGATTGCACCACACCTTTGTACAACCCCGTGGAAGCAATCGTGAGCATTTGTTCGTTGTGGAAAAAAGAATAGGGTCGCGCGCATGGCCGGTGCTCTGCATAAGCCGTGACCCCTCAGGTCTTCACGCTGTTGCTGGAAGCTGCTGTGTTTGAAGATTTCTAGGTTTAGGGTTTAGGAGTTTAGGGTTTTCGCTCCGAGCGGGCTTTCGACCGCTCCATGAAGCGGTTGGGTGTCGGCATATGAGCTGGGACGTCCACCCTCCCACCCAAATTTCAGACCTTGAACGGGTTTGGGGTTGTGTACCCACCCAACCCCCTTATCAATCAAGTGGGAAGACAAGTTTCTGCAACTGTGAACCAAAATTAAAACGGATATCAAGCCAAATTTACAAATTGCCCACTGGACATTGAAGGCTTCCTTTCTTCTTCTCAGGAGTTGTTGAGAACACGGATCCAATCAAATCTGTGGGTTCGTTAATGTTAAAACGCTTGTAAGTTCCAAGCACAACTGCCACAGTAGATGCACCACCGCCGCTTCTCTGGTGATGAAGGTTGACCCGGCGGGCTCGAGTCGATTCCATTGCTTGGCTTGCTCAAGTTGCTTCGAGTCGAGGCAGATTCCAAATTTAAAAGTCCAACCTGGAAGCAGATGAAATCGTTTGGCCTCGGGTCCTGATGTTTTTGGATCCAGCTCTTAAGCTTTCGTCCCGGTCCTAAGTTTTAGAGTCCGGGTCCTTGTTTAAGGCTGCGGCTCCCTTACTTTAGGCCCCGGTCCTCAGTTTTAAGATCAGATTCCTTAATCTCCGTCCGTACTTCAAACCCCCTAATTGCACGGTTCTGCATGTTAAGTTCCGGGTCCTTCAGCTTAGTTGGGCTCCGGCCCTAAATTTTCGATCCTTAGTGGGGTCCCTGGTCGTTGGCGCATTTGGCACCCAGGCTTTCGGCTGTTACCATATATGACAAAGGCGGTCTGCTCGAATCAGCCGCTTGGACCTTCGGTCCAGGACCTTGGGGCAGGCCCTTTTCAATGGCCGTTCCCGGTCCGCAGGTTCCTTCCGGTCAGCCTGCTGCGACAGGCCCACATCGCTGGTTGGCCCACCTTAGGCGTTGGCAGGTGTTGAACCAAGTGGACAAAGTGAACCTGGTCACTTGCCCAAGTCGTGGCATTTTCATCAAGGCAAGTTGGCCAAATCACCATGATCACTTGCCCAAGTCGCTGCAGCGCCAAGCGACCCAAGCGGACCAAGCGGCAGCATTCAGTTAGCGGATCGCGTTCCCCCGCACACTCGGGATTATTGAACATGCCAGTTTTACTACGGGCTTAAGGATCTTGTAGTTGCTCGTTTGGTATGCGCCGGTGCACCTAGTGACCTCAGTAATTGCTGCACATTATTGCACACGGAAACTCCTGTCATTGCTTCAGTTGTGTGCTGCACTTTGGTATGCTACTACCCAGAAAAACTGCGATGACCCTGCACGCAGTGCCAGCTAGGCCCGATTCATGTCTCTTGCTCGACCGTGTCGCCGAGCATTTCACGGTCCTTGTCTGAGGCCACGGCATTTGTGCGTGTGTGTGTGTAGGCCTGCGCACAATGTGCCAAGAACACTTTGGGATTCTTGAATCAAATAGCGCATGGTAGAACAGGGCTTCGCAGGGCGAACAAGTTTCGAAACAAAAGATTCTAGTTCTCTCGAGTCGTGTCAGTGACGCATGTTGCCATGGTTGGTATAGTAAAGGGTTTTAGTAAGTGTGCGTTGGGGGGGGAAGCTGGAGGGAGCCAGAGATGATGGAGACGTGAGCATGGTGAACGTTCCGCAAGGCGTATGCAGCCAGAGCCGTGGGCTTCGTGTCCGCTCCCGTCTTCGCACGTTCGGGCGCAAGTGATTGCTCGTTGCACGATCTTGCTACCTTGGGGATTAGCTGCAGACGAGTGGCAATGTGGCAAGATCCTCGAATCGCTCACCAGTTGTTGTTAGCATGCATATGAGGGTAGTGTTCTGCATTCGCCCAGATGAGGTCCTGATGGAATGCGACGTGGTGAAGCAACATTCCCGGCTCGCGCCTTTGCAGGTGTTGTAAATACCGCTAAATCAGGCTTGGGAACATCCCTAGAAGATCTTTGCAAGCTCGGCCGTGCCGTGAAGGTGAGCGGACCAGGCTGGGCGAAGAGCAGGGTGGCCCATGCCTCACCACTGAAGTTTGCACGCGGACCAGAGACTCTGAGCAAACGCGCAATGCAGGGCAAACGGAGTTTGCATGTGCATTTTCTTGCTGGGCTCGAACAGGCCCTGCATGAGCTCGGAGGCATGTTACCAGGGCGCGCGTATGCACGCATGCTGTGGCTGCTAGTGACAGCTTTGTCCGACTGCCGATGGGGGTGGATTTAGCAGAACTGGCGATGCCGCCGAACGAACCTATGAGATTGGATGCGGTCACCGAGGAAGCATGAGCGGGGCCAGCCTGCACCCAGGCCGACGGCGGGTGCCCATAATAGCGAGCGAGAGCCAAGCGCCGAAGAAGGCCACTGGACTCCAGCGCCGATCGAGCGATCGCGTCTGCCTTGGACTACTGCACCACCGGTGCATTGGAAGAGCGTCGTAAAAGGAATCTTGGGGCACCATTTGTGCCGGCATAGGTTCAAGAAGTGGACTAACCACCCAATAATACCCAAAGTATTCTTGCAGCAAATCAATCACGAATGATTCCTCATCGGCCCATCAGCAAGAGACGTAAGGCACTCAGTAAAGGGAGTTGGCCAAGACATGATGCATTCCTCGCCGTTGCTGTGGTTGTTATTTGGTAGAGCTAGTAGAGCCGCGAAACCTGAAACTCGAAGAAAACTCTCCGAAAGAAGACCTTCGTATTATACTAAGGTTAGCAGATGAGGGCTGGGCAGCTTTGTTTTCGATTGCCTATTTGCAAAGCTCAGATGATTTCTCGATCCATGGTACAGTTGCATGGGATCCGTTTACTGGCTGGCGAAGGGGCTGAGCTGCCAGCAGAGAATCGAAAGACTCAGCACATGTGAGATTGCGCTTCTTTGCTCCCAAGCACTTGGGATGACTTGGGTGTCCGCAGGCTAGTTACGCATTTCTCTGAGATCTCTGAGTTTTGGCGCTCTCTCATCCGTGTTTTCTGTTTTGCAAGGTCCCCTTGCTGCAGAAGACTGCGCTTGGTGTTCATGATTTTGGCGAGGACCGTGTCTGCATGTCTTCTGGCCATGCACACGGTTGGCCGAAACATGAGGGGAATAGGCTACAGTCCGTAAGTAGCAGCAAGTATGTGGTGAATATGAAGTTCGTTTGTCAGGATATCATGCACGAGCCAGTGCAATTGTTAGAGGTTGTAGGTGCACTGTCCAGCCAGAGATGTACACTTTAGTGTGCATAGTTCTTGTTATGATTTGCACCAGGATGCGGGTGCAGCCAACGTGGCCGCGAACACAGTGCTTGAGCCGAGGAGTACGCAGCAATGCGTGGAGCATGAGCAAGACACCGGTCAGTAGCAGAAGGCAGCATTCTGGTCTGAAAATCTGGTTACAAGAGGTTTCGCAGCAGTGTGCGACAGGCGTTCACGGTTGCTTTTTGTCGATGAAGTGCAGCATAAGTTATTCATGCTGAGTTAATTTGCGACACCTTTGCCGTTGCCCTATGTCATATGTTGAAGCCAAACTTGCCCACAAATACTGTAGCTGGCAGCTGAAGTTTCTTCAGGTCAAGCTTGGCGGGAATTTCCTTATTGCTGCTGCGATTGAATCGATGGCGGAGGTGCAGATCCCCATGCATTCGTGCTTTGGACCGGAGCACGACATGAGCTTGTATCCCCATTCATCTCATGTCATATTAATTTGCAATGCGATGCACGAGAGTCAGGACAAATTAGAAAAGTCATCGCACTGACACCAGGTTGGATGGGCCTGTAATTGCAGCACTTGCCGCAGAATGTCTCCTTGAACCATGCACTCGAAAGAATCAAAATGAGCTGGACCGTGAAACATGGAACAGCTCGCCCTTAGAACTGCCAGGCATCGGCACTGGCAGAGAGCTATGATGTCCAGCACTTGGTCGAGGGAACCGGATGCAGGCGACCACAAGACGAAGCTCATTCTATGATTCTGCTTGCATGTATCACGACGGTGCTTCAGTGATTCAGGTTGACCGGGAGAAATTCATGTCCCTGATGCCATCACCTCAGCTCCGCGGCACACAGCAGATTTACAAGAGCTTGTAGCGGCACTTTTGCTATTCCAAAGAATGTTGCCGCTCTGTCAGATTCCTGTGTGCGTCCTCCTGCAGGTCCTCTACCATTTTCGACTGCTTGATTTACAAAGGATACGGAGCCACTGGCATGTTTTCAGGTTTGGCCGTACAGGGTTCTTGCACGCGGTCGGGGCCGGGTGCAGATGAGTTGCAACGGAGCATAAGGGTACATTTGGTGCATTGCATCTGCCATTGTGCTGAAGAGGGCTTGCACGCCTTTTTTGTTGCTTCCAATTGTTGGGCCACAGACTTCTTAGCTGCACAGCAGAGATGCCAGGTCATCGTGTAGCTGCCAGAGACCATCACCCTTACCCAGATGTGCTTCGGCTGCATTGTATCTCTCCGAGCTCGCTCCGAAATTGAAGGTTCACGTTTATTTTTCCCCATCGCCGAAGTCATGGCAAATAGAGCACGCCGTTTATGCTAGGCCAGGTCGCTAGGCGAGATCCTGTCTTGCAAGTCGCCAAAAAAACCTTTGGGCCAGTTGCTTGCCCCCTGGCGATGCCATGTCCCTCTGTGATCTTGCACGTGTGGGGATTGTTTGCAACACCCAAGACATGTCACCCATTTGTGTGAGCTTTCTTGTCGCCTCAGTTGGGTTTGGAACTCTTCACTGTGTCCCTGTGCTGAGCAGCCACGCTGAGAGGAAACAGAGAGCGACATGTCACGGTCTCTGGAGATTGGCAGTCTCTCGCAGGCCCATTTTGCACTGGACTTGGGCAGCAAGGACTCGCACGATGTATTTCTAAAGAGGGCAGGTTTCAACCAGTTGATGGCTGCCAATGGTGAATAGAACTTTGGGTTTGCGAGGCCCCAGCTGTTGCTGGAGCCAGATGCCGTAAAGCAAGGCCAGGTTGGAGCTGCACTCACCTGTCCAGGACGTTTCGCTTGTGCATCTCGCGGCTGCACAGGTGCACTGTGTTGAAAGTTGTCACACGAGTTTCAGTCGTCAATGTCGTCAACCAAATGTGTCTCCAGGCACGCTGCCCAATGCCACTGGCTTCCCTACTCCGTGATCGGTTCGTGGCATCGCAGAATGCCGGAAGAGGCCGTGACATGTCACTCCGACTCTTCGACTGATCAGTCAAGATTCATAATGTCAGGCAAGCTTGATTGGTCGGCCGTGGCACTAAAGGCCTCAGAAGAGGCAGGCAGCAAACAGGCCTGAATGCAGTCTTTCAGCATGTCTTGGAGACGCTGAATAGCAAGAAGGGCTCACAAACAGGGTTCGGGCCAGTTCAGATGGTAACCGAAACATGTACAAATCATCGTGCAGTCTGCAGCCTGCACCAAAGATTTGAGAGTCACATTGCCTCACTCCAGCAAGCCCGGTGTCAGTACGGAGGTCGACAGAAAGTCTGCCGTGCTGCACTCCCGTGCTGTTTATAAAGAGCTGTCATTCTCTCTTCCATCGGGGATAATGAAGACATGTGGGTTGTCACAGTTGATCCATTGCGCAATCAGAAACTGGGCCTTGACTCAGAAACTGGGCATCAGAAACTGCACATCAGCAACCGCCGCAGATCAGAAACTGTGCATCCGCAAGCTGCGCGCAAACTGGGGTTTGGAAACTGGCGTGGGACCATGGCGGGGTGGGGCGGGCATGGTAACGTCCATGGTCGAATGCATTCTGAGCACAAAGCATCACGCGTTTGGGCTTTCCGGGATTGTTGTGGAGTTACGTCAGCAGGCTCTGACGGTTTCGCCGTACTCGGATGCTAAACCGAGTCTTAGAGCAGCGTTGCGTGGATCATCGCGTTTGTTCGCAACAACTGCATAAAATGCCAAGCAGGTTCCAAGTCACTTCGAGGTCTGAGGACGGTCTCATCTTAACTTTCTCTGATCGCTGTGCTCCGTTAAGTGCAGGTTGCCGATACCATCCGGAGCCTGCAGGGGCTCGAGTGAGCAAACCTCGGCCTGCAACTCGGACATTCAAACACGCCCGTTCCGAGAGAATTTCGTCGACAATGAAGCCATGCTTCGTCTTCGCACAGGAGAAACGCGGAAGTAAGAAAACAAGACACGTGCATGACCATGCATGCACAGCATCTGCACGCAGCATGTATCAACGAAGATAGATAGTAAGAGCGGATTCCCAAGTGTGAGGTTGCAGTGTTGAGCCTGTAAGGGCAACTCCTGGAAGTTGCTATAATGTCATTCCATGATATGATATGCCATCCGCATAGTGGTCTCTGGCATCTCGCAACGTGATCTTTCATCTTAGCGCACTCACGCAGCACACACACACACACGTATATATATATATATATCATTATAAATCTACGATTGCCGTGCAGATGAATCATGCCGTGAGTCATCTCTGATGCTCAGACACGACGTTCTCTCAGTCTGTCGTCTTCGGCAATGATGGAAAGCTCGGAAGAGCACCAGTTTAGGATGTATCCGGTACAAGTTCAAGCTGCAGAGAGCCTTCGATGGGTTGAGCGTCTGGGGTTGAGAGGCGTCTTGCTGGCTGCACGAAAGGTATAAGCGGCGCTGCATGTGTCGCGGCTTAGTTGCTTTGGAATTTGGGAGTCACTTTCACAAAATACATGCAGGGCAGTGACCGCACTTGCTTCAAAGAGCAGTCACCGTTTGGGCTTGTGATTCCGGGTGCGGCAGCGGCGTTCAGAATTCCTTGTGTGCCGAGAAATTGGCACAATGCATCAGGCACGATTAACCGAGTTGTGCGTTGGCCGGGCAGAGGAACACACATCGGCGGTTCAGAGATTTCTGCGAGTTGTGAAGTCGTGCACGGTGACCTGCTTTTGACATATCCTTCCTGGGCAACCGAAATGGGCGAGCAAACCGCCTTGCAGAAACCCATCAGAAACCACAAAACACGCACAGTCACACACACACACACACACACGCACGTACACACACTCGTGTAGAAGCTTCTGGCAATCCTGGGCCATCCTAGGCCGTGGTCGTGGACCTACACGTATAATGAGATGTGCGTTTCATCTTATAACATTTGCTCCGCCATGTGGGATCTGTGTGAGAGCATTTCGCGACAGCGCCTCGTTGCAAGCATCCGCTCATGTTGTCCGTTGGGTTGCGATGTTGGGGACGAGCCCGCGCTGTGGCAGGATTAGCGTTGATCAGCGGTGTTTTGTGCACGGGGCTGTGCGGTTCATGTGATGGTGTGCCTCGTCGGTATTGTCATGCTTTCGCGTTCCGCCCCGGGTAGCATCACCCGACTCGCAAGTAATGCCAATTCCTTGCCGGCCTGAGCACCACAAAGATGCATTCCGAGTTCATGCGTTTTCCATTGTTTTGCCGTGCCAGCTGCGTCACTGAGATCTGCGGGGAAGACGTGAAGAATGGATTGGCAGAGGCACGATGAGAGACAGCACATGCCCTGTGCATCCCTGTACAGCCTGAGCAAAACATGTTTTAGGGCTTACTGAGTTGCCCGTGCGGTATCTTGCGGTTCTTTGTTTGATTTGGTTTCGGGGTTTTGCGAGTGGTGTTTCACATGTCTACTCTACTACAGTAGTTATATACAGTCAAGGCTTGTACACACACGAACATGCAGTTCAGCATCTCATCCAAAGCACGAGGTGATCACGGACATCCATTGGCCTCGAGACCTTGCGCGCAGCTTGGCCGAATCGCATCTAGGAATCTAGGAATCCACATCCGATAACGCGCAGCACGAAGTGGCACTACGTACTTGCCCATTCTTTAGCAGACTGGATGGGTGTATTGTTGATCATTTTTGCATTTGTCCATCTGTGGAACCTCACCTGAGACCTGCCGGTGTCCAAGATGTTCGCGGCGGCTGGAAGCCGAGAAATCGAAAGGATTGAAAAGCTGGCTTCGATGTTGTCGATTGCTTGGTGGTTATACGGCTATACGTCTGCACGCGGAATGTTGCAGAAATCCCGACGCAACGAATTGAATTTGACGAACTGAGCAGAGAGTGATTGCATAGGTTACTAGCAACTTCTTGCTGTAGCGCTGGTCCATGCTCGCCTCGAGGTTGCATCCACCCGCTGAGTCTGCTTCAAGTCAGCGGCACTTCAGAAACGAAAGACCGGTTGCGTTCGACTTTACAGCTCTCTTGCTACGAGATGTTTGTACTTCGGCACACAAGGCTCACAGCCATGGCATCAGCACACCCACTCATAGCAGCACCAGACAGTTTAGAAGCAGTAGCACTGACAATTGCATTCTGACTGACGAGCGGCACCGGTCATGCCCCACTTGCTCGTAGAACCTCTCCAGGCGTGACGGCTCCAGAGTGCTGAGAATGATGAGGCTTTCTGTGCCGAGCATGCTTCTGCAAGGCGAGATGTGGGCCCATCCTTGGAGAAATGGCTGCTTGGCCAAGTTGCTGCAACCGGAATGCCCGCAGCCAGGCATCTTTCTGCGGAATGCTGTATCATGCTGCAGACTGCGGACATGTATGTAGTGCACATGGATGCCAGAAGCGGCCCTGAGAGAGGCTGGCGTATTCCTTGGCAGCGAGATACCTTCAGGTTCGAAGCTGCATAGGAGGGCCAAAAGATGCTGACTCGACCGGTTCACTTTCACCATGCTTCTGCAGATCTCCTCCACTGATTCGGCTTGTACACCCACCACAATGCATCATGAGTGCTGACTAGGCGCTGGTCTGCTTCTTCGTCCAGCGTCAACTTTTCTGCCGGATCTGGACCCAGGCGCGCCCATGGCTCCGACGGATAGTTGAACACGAGTACGTCTACAGACTGTCGAGATGAGGAAGAGCCTTAGAACGCTCCAGGCCGACTACAGCATCCGACGAGCTTCTCAGAAGCAACGACTGCATCAGATCGAGCACAGCTGCTGCAGGCTGAGGCAGCTCTGGGATTGTTCTTGGCATTTTTGGGCTAGACGTGGCCTTGGCTCTTCGTTCGCCACTTTACGCGTTCATTCGGTGTTCGTGTGCTTTGGTCTATTTGCTTCTTGCATGCACGTTGCGATTATGTGCGGTTGCGACGTGAGCTTGCCTTGCCTTGCAGTCCAGCAAGACCACAGGGAAAGCAAGTGGTGAGAGCGCATGCCTACCCCTCCCCTCCTACTCCTACTGCTTGTCCTACTTCAACTACCCCCGAGATGAAGATTCGGAGCTTGCCGTTGCTACACTAGCCGCTAGCTCATCTGCTTGCCCGCCCTCTTCCAGTTCTTCGTTGACTCGAAGTCCGCTGCGAGCATTCCACAAGATCTGCATCTGGGAGAACCATCAGCAGTCCTGAAAATTCTCTTGGGTTTGGCCAGAGGACTGTTGCGTTTCACTTCAAAACGTGCCGCCTTCCCAGAATCCAACGGACCTGACAACGATGCGCATACTTGGACCCGATTCCCCCTTCCAGAAAAGCATGGTTTCAAGCTTGGGGCCTAAGTTGAAAAGCATACGCATGCCACTGGCAACACCGAATTTCTCTCGGCAGACTTGCCATCGGGCCGCATGATTGAGGTGGAAGCGGCAAGAGATGCAGCAGATACGGCGGAAGAAGAGGTGCATTCGCGACACAGGTGTATTGGGGATGTTCATCTTACGAGTCATCTGATTTCAAGGCTGAGGCTGCAGAGCATGCCGAGCTCTTGGTCGTCGGTCTAGCAACGATCTTCGCGGGGCCGCAAACCCAGACAGTGAAGTGGACACGCTGGCTGACATGCATTGGTTGCTGCACATCGTGGGTCGTGGGTTGGCCTCGCTCATCTAACCGAGGCTGGCGTGGTTTACTACCTACAAGACATGGCAGCTGTACCAGAGGCCCAGACGGTACTTATCTAGCAGGCGCTGACACGAATAGGCCACATGAAGTTGCGAGAATCGGAATTGATCTTCGCTTCGTTGCGATGTCATCGCTTCGCTGCGCTTACATGGCTGTATGATAAGTTTAAGGTTGCTCGGTCGCGCAGTTTCGCATATCCTCACGCCATCAGCGAAATGGCACGAGTGGAGAGCATGAATGCAAACGCTTACGACTGTGTCTTCCAAGGGAAGTATCTGTTCATCATGAAGCACATGCGAAGCAGATGGCTCTTGCCTTCGCAGGTGGCTTGCCATGAAGCGTCGGAAAGCCTTGTGCGTGGGTGCTGCACGAGCTGCTGCAGCCAGAGGACGCTGAGCATTGGACCCACAGCCAACATAAAAAGTGCGCCAACACCTTGTTTCTGCTTGTGTAGACTTGCTGCATCTTTTTGCCTGTGATCATGGCCTACGAGCCAAAGTCGCAGGGCGTTGCAAGTCCCATTTCAGTGCTCAACAGCTAGAATTCCTGTCTGCAGACCTCGGAAGGCCGTTTGCAGAAACATCACAAGCAAAGAGCTGAACGAGTTACAAGTATATGGCATCTAGAGAGTTACACAAGTGATACCTCGCCTCACAGTCATCTCGGCTGCATAAAGTGAGTGCGCTGACCAGGACCGTTGTAAGTTGCCGGAGGACTCCTACAACTATAATATTTGAAAAGCAAGGAGAGAGGTACAGTAGCTTTGATTTGAGTGGGGCGTGGACCTTGGTTCCTGCAGTTTCCCAATTCAATTCACGCAGCCAAGCAAGTGTACTATCCTCACGGCAGGTCTGGGTGGGTGTCTGGATAGGCTAAGCGAGTTTCACCGACGTACTTCAGCGCTTTGTCCCACTAGGTTGCTGTCCAAGTCGATATGCATTTCGGCCGTCATGGTTCTTGTGGCTCAGTCCATGTAGCAATGTAGCAGGGATGTTCGAAAGCTCAACGGCACCTTCTCACATGATGAATCTCAGCAGGATCTATAGTGATATAGATGTCCCCGGATTGGCATGCATCACTGAGTTGCTGTTCAGAGAGATGTTGCTTGCCAATGATGCGAATGTCGGTCGCAGGCATGAAAAAGGCCAAGCCTGCATCCTAGATGCACCCCCTTCATGCTGAAAGATGCTGAAAGCCTGCGTATTAAGGCATGTCTGAAGCCTGTCATACCAGATGCTGAACATGCCAAGCCAACTAGGTTGTAACTAGATGTTGCGGCGATGCTGGTGTGGCAGCGGGACAAAAAAAACATTCGTGACCAGTAATACATGTTGTACGAGCTGCCGACAATGTCAGGAACTGTGCTAGGGCTGCTTTGTGACAGGTGTATGTATGAAGTCTTTGCAGCGCCTGCCTCACAGCTATGCGCTGCCAACTCAGTCGTCGAAGCCCGGTTCGGTCCGCTGAGGAGTGCTGACCGCATATGAGCCCGCATGCTTGCACAAGAACTGGACAGTCGTGCCGGCCAGCTCAGGTTCGTGTGTTCAGGGCTCAGCATCTGTCACGACTCTAGGTTTGGACTGCTGATGATACAAGTGATTGATCGTGTCTGCTTTCTTTGGCTTTCCGGCTGCGTGGCACACAGGATTGTGGATCATCGCTCAGTCTCACTCACCTTCTCTAATATGTTGCTGGCATCGGCAATGGAAATACACCAAGACAGGATGCCTTTGGCACGCAGTGTGGCACCGACGCAGTCGACACCAAGGGCCACTGCACGCGTGCAACGAGCGATGCGTCCTTCAGCTCATGAGAAGGATGGCAAGATCTTTCTTTGTGCATCGCTGGCTTGCTCGGGCATGGCGCTGGCACAAAGGTCCATGTCGAGGCGACAAAGTCGACACGCTCTGCAGGCCCAGGCAAGCTCTGCAGGTGAAGGAAAAGGCCAGTCCCGGCCACGTGTCGCCGTTGTTGGGGCTGGTTGGGGGGGCCTTGGCGCCGCAAAGGCCTTGTGCGAGAACGGCTGCGAAGTGACTTTGCTGGATGGCACCCCGCAGCCTGGAAGCGGCATGCAAACGCCTTCAGGCAAGCCCTTCGAGGCTGGTACTCGTGGATTTTGGAGGGATTATCCCAACATGAACGCCACGCTAGCCGAAATCGGCTTGGACGAGAGTGAACTCTTTACAGACTTCACAGAATCTGCTTTCTACAGCCCTGATGGGCTGGAAGCGACGGCTCCGGTGTTTGCGGGCGCGCCAGAGCTGCCCAGCCCCTTGGGCCAAGTCATTGCAAGCTTCTCTAGGTTTCGACGCTTACCACTGGCAGACCGGCTCTCCATCACCGGCTTGCTTCTGGCCATGGTCGATTTCACCCGTGATGCTAAGACCTTCGAAGCATATGATCGCATGACAGCTCATGAACTTTTTCTAAGAGCTGGACTGAGCCGACGTCTTGTCGACGATTTCTTGAAGCCTACGCTGCTCGTCGGCCTCTTCAAACCCCCGGAGGAACTGTCTGCGGCTGTCACCATGGAGTTGCTCTACTTCTATGCTTTGGCCCATCAAACTTCCTTCGATGTTCGCTGGCTCAAGAAGGGCACGGTCAGCGAGACCTTGATGTGTCCAGTCATCAACCACTTGGTAGAGCAGCACGGCCTGACCGTGAAGGGTGGCAGTTTTGTGGAGGGGCTCGAGGTGGCCGATGGCGCAGTGACCGGCCTTCGGTATCGGTCCAGAAGCGCAGGAAGCGGAAGCATGCAGACCGTGCAGATGGAGGATTTAGATGCAGTGGTGCTGGCACTGGGCGCTGGCGGTCTCCGAGCTGTGCTGCGCGGAAGCCCCGAGGTTGCCAAGGTATGCCCTAACCTGACGTCTGCAGGATCCTTGCAGGGAATTGATGTCATGTCCGTGCGTATTTGGTTTGACCGCAAGGTCGCCACACAGGCCCTACAAGCAAAAAGATTCTAGGTTGTTCCAGGTTCGTTCATTGCATGTGCTGGCATGTGCATCGTCGTGAATGTTCAGGCCCCCGCAAACGTCTTCGCGAAGTTTAGTGCTCTTCGTGGCGCAGGAGGAACCTTCTTTATGCTGGATCAGTTGCAGGCAGACCAGCAGGCACTTTGGGGAGAGGATGAGCCCCAAGGCTCCGTGGTGGCCTGTGACTTCTACAACGCCGGCGCCCTCTTCGCGCTGTCTGATGAGGAGATCATCCGGCTGCTGGCCGACGAGCTGCTGCCCAGTGCAGTGCCAGAATTCCGCAGTGCCAAAGTCGTGGACAGTCACGCCATGCGTTTTCCCGGAGGTGTGAGTTGGTTCTCCCCTGGCTCTTTCAAGTCACGGCCAACCACAGAGACCCCACTAAGAAATTTGGTGTGTGCAGGCAGGGCATCCAATCTCTTCACCCCAGCGGTGGGCTCCTCTTTGCTCTCTGCAGGTGATTGGGTTCGTCTTGGCAGCCGGGAACATGGTGCCAAAGGGCTTTGCCAGGAGCGAGCCCTTGTGACAGGCCTTGAGGCACACGGCACGGACAGCCATCTGAGTCACAGAACCAATAGCAATTGGCCGGATCCACTGTGGCCAGGCAGCGAACTCATTGGCCAGGCGAGGGATTCTGGGCAAGCGCCGGCCACAGCATGTCTTGCAGGGCACGTATCATTCAACGTGACTCCACCCTGACGTTGCAATCTGTAGTTGTACTAAGTGAAAGTAGACAAACCTTGACAGATGCTTGGCAGCAGCACCAATAGTACTTGTAGCAGGGTTGTCGCCGTCGTGGTTGCACTCGCTGTCTCCGTTGCAGCAGTAGTCGTGGTAACAGTGGTAGTGGCAGTCGTCGCCGTCGTAGCAGTGGTGCTGGTGGCGGTGGCGGTGGCTGTAGTAGTCAGAGGGAGGAGGAGGAAGAGGAGGAGTAGTTGTAGTTGTTGTTGTTGTTGTTGTTGTTGTTGTTGTTGTTGTTGTTCTTGTTCTTGTTCTTGTTCTTGTTCTTGTTCTTGTTGTTATTGTTTTTTGTTTTTTCTAGTGTCCTCTTATTGTTGTTTTTGTGGCTCTCTGGTACTGGTGGTTGTGCTTAGGCTTGTGCTTGTGGTTGTGGTGCTTGTTGTTGTTGCCTCCTTTGCGAAACGTAAGGGACGTCTTTCTGCTTGAGCCATTTTCGAGTGCCTCGGAGCCTCGTGCCTCTGCGGACTACCGGATCGCGATTCTTGGGCCTCCTTCGACAGCAAGTTCTGGACGAGCTGATGTGAAGCGGTAGGGTTTCTGCCTTTCCACGCGGTGGAGGGAGCAGTACTGTACTTGGGTTACACCTAGTTTTGCGAAACAAGCGGATGGCGAGCCGACTATGCCACAGTTGTTTTTCTACAGCCAATGCTCTTACAAGAGGACCTGCCGCACAGAGCGTGTCAAGGAGCAGCTCCGATCCTAAACCGGCCGTCTTCTGAACTTGGGTGCCTTGAAGGAAGCCTTCGAGACGAGGTCTGGTACCTTATGCTGGTTTTGCGCCTCTACGAGCGCTTTCTCACAAGTAGGACCTGGATCGCCTGTGCTTTTCGCGCAGTCTGATTCGGTAACTACACCTTTGCAGGCAAGCAGGGTCGGCTGCCATTGGGTGCGACATAAGCCAGCGCGATCGAGTGCTTCCGACACCGTCGAGAGCCCTTTTGTGCAGCGCCGCTGTTCACCGGCCAGTGCCTGGGAACAAGTCAGACACAGGAGAGAGGATGGATGCAACTTCACGGCCTTCAACTCGAAAGCATCCTCGTGTAGTGCACCCACGGTGCATCGAAGTGGGACCGGAGTGTTTGGCAAGTGGCATGTTTGCATTGCTGCAGTTCGCCTCGTGCAAATCTTGTTTTCGATGCTTCAGTTGGCTCACGTTCTTGTTTGAGTCAAAGGCTTCCTGGGCACACTGTCAGCATTGTGTTGGCCCCTGTGTCTTGTTGCAGTGCTTGCAAGCATTGCTGGCCGGGCGGCGTTCAGCAAGACGATGGCGCGGCTTCAGATTCCTCTGTTAGCACGGATGCTAGTCTCCACACCTAAAGCGTCGGCAGCCATGCCTGCAAGTTACAGGTAGGGGCTATCGGTCTTATTGACTGTGCGTTCTGGGCTTTGCTACTTCTCGAGCAGTCTGGCGGAGTCATTGACGTGACTTGTTGCACTTGCCTTGTGTTTGCTACTCGAGGAGTGTGGCGGAGTCATTGGCTTGACATGTAGCACATGCATTGTGCGCGCGTCCCTGTGATCCCATGTTTGGGACACATGCTTAGTTTGGTCTTCGCGTCCATTGCTGGGCTAGGTTAGTTGTGCACGTTGCACATACTATTTGTCTTTAGCCCCGTTAGCCTTTGTTGGTGGCTCAGCACGTTGTCTTGCGACAAGTCCTTGCTTGATTGCGTGACATGTCTTTGCTGTCTTTGACTGCGGAGCAACGGGAGGCGGCGATGAATGCAGCGTCGCCCGATCTCAAATACCATTTGTCCGAGGTCAAGGTGCCTGTGGAAGTGCAAGCTGCCCACTACCACAAAGGCTTTGTGGACTTGCACCTTTTCGCGGGTCTTGACGAGTCGCGCTTGGAAGTCCGCAATGCCATTGCAGCGGAAATTGGATTGAAGCATGACGAGAGTACAGAGGCTCGCCAGAGTGTGGCTCGCTTGCTTTCTGCCTGGGAGTCTTCTCGGGCTCAGCTGGTGGCAGAGGACAAGATGAAGGTAGAGAGCAAGTTGGGCCAGACACCTCGCATTGTCCAATGTTCTGAAATGGCTGCCCTGCGCAAGGCTGCTGAGGCGGTCGTGGGTAGGCTGCAGGACGATGAAGTACCTGCGAAAAGCTTGATTGCCGCCAAATTAGAGCAAGTTGAATCCGGGGATCTTCGTGCTGAGGATCTTCGTGAGGTCTTGTGTGTTGAAGACGCAGACATCGATTTGTTCAGCGGCATCATCGAGCAGGGTACTGGGAACCTGAAGATTCGCCCGGGCAAGGCGAGCATTCCCATGCCCAACTCAGCAGAAGAACTTCGGTATTGCGTGGGTGATGGTGGGGTCCAAGCACAAGAACCAGTCTTGGATCACTTCAAACCTCCTGGAGACTTTTCGTCGTTTTTCGGACCACGTGGTGGGAAAACACATTGCAGCGTTGCCTATATTGTCTCATGGTGTGACAAGGCACCCAGCATGGAAGCTGGTGCTGTCCTACGAGCTGGAGGTCCCGGAAGAAAGCCTACAAGAGCCTGCGCGATGGCAAGCTTGACTCTCTCAGCAAGGCTTTGGAGTCGGCGTGGGAGTCTCCAGAGATCATGAACAAGCATTTTCTGGTTCCTCTGACCGCTTCGTCCGACTTTCTCTCTTCTCCTGCTGATTCTGGTTGTTGGTCTTCGTGGGGCGATTTCGTGCCGCCGCCTCCGTTTCCTGGCAAGGGCATGGGCAAAGGCAAGTTTGGAAAGGGCAAAGATGACGAGAGAGGTGGCATCATCAAATCCAAGCTGAAGACTAAGTCGGCCGATGGCAAGAAGCTTTGTTTCCGCTTCAACAATGGGAAGTGCCTGGACAAAGCTTGCCCTTACCACCACGCTTGCCAGCTTTGCTTGGCTGAGGGTCACGGCAAGAAGGCGTGTCCCTCGAAGACTCAGCCTGCGGCTTGAAGGATCAATTCCTTTTGCCAGCTGCCGCCCTTCCCTCGCCTTCTCAAGGGTTAGTAACTTCGGGGCAGGCCGGCTTTGTTGGCTCAGGCAGTGATGAGGATTCAGACAAGGGCAATGAAGCTTTCAGACGTGGTGCAGGCCGTGGTCCTCCTCTTTGTGCTGACTTCATGGGCAATAGAAAGGCTGCCACGGACGGCGGAGGCTTATGCAGTCCTGGTCGTTGGGAGCCGAGTCGCCGTTTAACGCGGCCGGTTGGAGTGCAGTGCTTTGCCAAACTACGGGATGTTGCTTCGAAGACATGTGGATGCCCGGAAGTTGGTCCTAGAACTTGCTTGCAAGAAACACGTGTCGCAGCCGTTCCCAGCAGCTTGCGTGCGTGAAGCTGAGACAGCTTTGCGAGAAGTGTTACTTCGACATGGTGCCCCGCTTGACTTGAGTGCAGTGCCAGAAAGACAACCTTTCTTGCCTTGCTCGAAGAGTTCTTGCGTTTGTGTGATGACCCCGACTTTGCAGCCTTCTTCTCCTCTGATGACTCCTTACTCCTTTGCCCGTGGGGTCACTATGGGAGTTCGTAGCGAGATGCCCAGGACTCCCGCAGTCTTCGACGAGAAACTCAAATGGCGCTCCTATGAAGGCGAGACTGAGGCAGAGGCCGAGTTCAGGAGCAATTATCCGGGTGCCCGTGACAATGCCGAAGTCATCGAGAAGCAGTTCGAGGAGGAGCAAAAGCTTGGTGCCATGGTGAAGTTGCCCGTCGCAGAGGCCCTGAAGATCCATGGCTCGGATCTACGTGTAGCGTCGCTGAATGCAATCCGGAAGAGCGACGACAGTTTTCGTGTAGTTCATGATGGCACTCGTGGGATTGGTGTCAATGGATGCATTCATGTGCGTGACCAACTAGCTTATCCGTCTGCAGGCGACTTGAGGCAAGCAGTGCGGGTGCTTGAGCAGCCGACGTTCTTGCTGACGGCAGATGTTAAGAGGGCCCATCGCTTGGTTAAAATCAAGCAGAAGGAGTGGGGCCTTCAGGCATGTCGAACCTCCGACGATGCCCCGGATATGTGGTTGAACACAGTCGGGACATTTGGGATTTCGAGTGCGGCAGTGCATTGGCAGCGATTGTTCAGCGGAGTTCAAAGAGCCATGTGCTATTTGTCTGGCTCTCGTGAGTTGTTTCTGCTGGTCTATGTGGACGATCTCCTCTTCATTGCAAGAGGAGTCAAGGAACTGGAAGTTGTTGCAGTCGCCCTTCTGTTCATGGTTGTGATTGGAGTGCCATTTAGCTGGCGTATGTGCAAGAGGGGCACCAATGTTGAGTGGGTTGGCTACTTCATTGACATCAAGGCAAGGAGCGCGGGGATCAGCGATAAACGTGCAAGTTGGATTTGTCGTTGGATTGAAGATACCCTTGCTGCGGGAACAGTCAGGATGCACGACTTTGCTTCGGTCCTCGGCCGTTTGAACTTTGCCATGCCGCAATTGATCACCTCCGCCCGTTTCTTGGCCCCTTGTATGCATGGTCCGCTGCTGTTGGAAAGTTTCACAGCTTGCCTGTCCCCAAAGCAGTCGCTTTTGTGCTTCGCTACATCTCCTACATGTTGCAGAATGGCCCGCGAGTGCGTCCTGTCGGGTCTCCTCGTCCGGCTTTCACGGAGTTGTTCAGGGCAGACGCGAAAGCCAAAGGAGAAGTAGTCTGCTTGGGAGGCTGGTCTGTGATCGATGCCCCTTCAACGCGTGAATGCAGATGGTTCAGCGAGAGGTTGACAAGGCAGAAAGCTCCTTGGGCATTCGTGTCAGGAGAACCTTTCAGAGCCATTGCTACCTTGGAACTCTTCGCGACGTTGATTGGAGTGATCCCCTTCAAGCCTGAGAAGTGCGAGATGGGAACGATTGCGATCTCAGCCGGAACTGACAACCTGGGCAACACACATGTGGTTAGCCGCCTCATGACCACGAAGTTTCCACTGTCGGCTTTTCTGATGGAGCTTTCGGCAGTGTTGATGAAAGATGACTTGGATCTGAGGCTGGACTGGCTACCGCGATTACAAAATGTCGAAGCAGACAGCCTTACCAATGAGGCCTTCGGAGACTTCTCTCCGCGAGTTCGCCAAAGGTTCGACTTTGGCAATTATCAAGGTATTTAGGCATGGAGCTGTATGCAGATGCAGGACAAGCGTATAGAGACAAGGTGCTGCGAAAGAAAGCTAGGCGGAGCGACGCTTTGCGCGTCAGGGACCCATGGCAGTGAAACTGTGGACCCACGCGTCCATGTAAGTATTTTGAGACAGCTTCGGAGCTAGCGGTACACAGCAGCATGGGGTCGCCTGCGGTTGGGAGTCAAAAGTGCGCCCATGCTGGGTTGCACATGGCATGCTGCAAGACATGTGTGTTTTGTACTTTGTTGTTGCCATAGCTACTGCTACTTCGACTTGGCATATGTTATGCCAGTGCGAAAGCTTTGATCCCACACCGCGAGAAAAGGGAGTCTGCCAGCTTGACTTGATGCTTAGGGTGGCTTGATTAATTCTCTGCCATTCACGTTAGTCCCGTGTAGTGCACCCACGGTGCATCGAAGTGGGACTGGAGTGTTTGGCAAGTGGCATGTTTGCCTTGCTGCAGTTCGCCTCGTGCAAATCTTGTTTTCCATGCTTCAGTTGGCTCACGTGCTTGTTTGAGTCAAAGGCTTCCTGGCACACTGTGTCGGCATTGTGTTGGCCCCTGTGTCTTGTTGCGCGCCACCATCTGCTGCCAGCGCGAAAGCTTTGATCCCACACCGCGAGAAAAGGGCGTCTGCCAGCTTGACTAGGCTAACTTGATTAATTTTCTGCCATCGAGGGCATCTATGCCATGACAAGCCCGATGACGACCTCCTGACAATCCTCCAGAAACTCACCATGCATTCCGCTCGAGTGACCATGCTGGACGCGGCAGTTCATAAGGGGGTGGCAGATCAGCAGATCGGAGTTCAAGCCAACTGGAAAAAACCAGGTCCAATGATCCTGAAATACACCAGGAACCGCTTGGCACTACCAGCTGCCATGATGCAGCAGCTCGTGGCAGATCTGCACGGAGCTTTTGTTCCAAAGAACGCTCGGCCGGATGATGTTCTGGCCTTCAAACAATCTGCCCCTTGCATGTCGTATCGGTTTTTGCGGTGTTTCCCTGCAAGAAACATGTTCGATTTCAGGGCTGC